TTAGGTTCACAACCTAAATAGTCTTCCAACTATACTTTTAAAGCACGATGTGCTGTCTGAATACCGAACAACATTCAGGTTCGTAAGGCTTCTAAATCAATGAGTATGAACTGTAGTGTTTATGTTCAGAAGCTTTATGTAGGAGACTGACACGTGCGCGGCATGCCGGAGTTAACGCCAGAGCCGGCGTCTTTACTTTGTGCTGGTTTGTTTATATGTAATTGGTTTGCCGCTATATAGTGAGAATGATTAGCTTGATTTCTTTTGTTTTCAAACGAGAGAGAAAGATTTGAGGAGATAGAAAAATCGGTCTTTTTATCCGTCTGCATGACGACGTCAAATTTGTTAGTGCTTTTGAAAACATAAAAAACTAAGTACCAGTCTTAAATATAATGACGTAAACTTAGGATAAACCCTCACCTGGGAATTTCGAAGTAACTGACATCCAAACATCTGTTTCTTATTGCGCCTTTTTAGATCTGGATGTGTGGTGGTGTTATTGAAATGTTACCCTGCTCACGTGTTGGACACGTGTTCCGTCCCAAGTTCCCCTACTCGTTTCCAGCTCGCCCCGGGTCAAACATTGATCCTGTGAGCAAGAACTTGATGCGCGTTGCCGACGTATGGATGGACGAGTACAGCAAACATTTCTATAATATAAGATATGACCTTAATTCGAAACAACACGACGATGTCAGTGAAAGAGTGAATTTACGCAAGAGACTTAAATGTAAAAGCTTTAAATGGTATCTAGATAACGTTTTTAAAGAATTGTCAGTACCGGATTCAAATTTCCTTTTCTCTGGGGAGGTAAGCAATCTGCACCGCCTAATACTGTTGCCTGCAAGTTTAACTTTATAGCGCCTGTTTTCGAAGTTGAAAAAACTAAATTAGTTCAAATGTTTCCATGCAGCACTATATAATTTATAATAATAATTTGAAAACACTTTTGTCTGTATTCTAAAAGCTCACTCACTCAGTGGGAGATCTTAATAATCTTCTCATAACGTTTCCATGGCGGTTCCAGTCGTTCCAAGTCTATTTAGAAAGAACTTTCTCATTGACCAGTGACCAGCATTAATAATTGACCAAATTTATGTCACATTCATTGCGAGTGTGAGTGAGCTTTTGGAATACGGGCGTTTGTCTTTGTTTTTCGATGACTAATGCCTCACTTTCTGAGGAAAACCTCCAAAGCTTATTTTCACATAGAATTGGAGCTACAAAGAATTTGTAATAAATTATATCATTTTCAAAGGCACTATAATGGCACTATTATTAGAACAAAATACTTTTTTAATCAAATGCCTTTTACGGCTTTTACCAATCAAATATATATTTGCAGGGCACGCGCTGTACGTGTGCATAAACCATGTGAGAAATGGAGGAAACGGGAATTTTTGCAAATTATATGTCGTTTCGTTTGTCGTTTCGTATTACATATGTCTCTATATACATTATGAAAACGATTAATTTCTTTATCAATCAACTGTTTATTTTTTACGTGACCCAAGCAAAAGGAAAGCGTGACTCGAGTTTAATTTTAAACATAATTTTAGTTCATTTCCATGTCGTCCATACGTGCAGCATGGTCTTATGAATGAATTATTCCTTCCACTTTATTAGGTGCGTAATCCACAAAGCGGTATGTGTTTTGATACCCTCGGTAAGCGCGACGATCATCCTTTAGGCCTTTACCAATGTCATGGCCAGGGAGGAAATCAGGTAACATATTTTTGTGAGTTTAGTTCGAATACATGCATGTTGGTCTTGTCTTCAAAATACTAGAACCGTGCATGGCCTTTATGAAACGTTTATGCATGGGTCATGCACAGTTAAAGCAGTATAGTAAATACAGAGAGACCAACCTCGACATGCAATAATGTATCGACGAATATTTTACCTCCCAGTAATGGATTAAAATTTTTTTTGTTAATTTTTAGCGTTATTTCATGCTGAATCCATCGTTGGTTTTTCTTTTCTCTTTCAGTACTTCACTTTAAACAGCAAAGGAGAACTCAAGTCTGAGGACAATTGCCTGGATTTCAATGGCTACGATTTATATCTTAGAGAATGTGATGACTTAGGACAAAATCAAAAATGGGAATACAAAGTAAACAAACTTTCTTTTTACCGTTTAAAAATGATTTTATGGAAGAATTTGTCCACGTTCGTGGTATGGTCAAATGACTTATGGTCAAGCGATAAGAAAATTATTAATATTTTCGTCCACTAGTTTTTACATTGCCACTTGCCACTCAAAAAACGGCGAGCTTGTGTCTGAATGCTCAACTTAATAATAATACTTATAAGAAGTAGGACAACGTTCACTGAACCGCCCTTGAAGTTGCACCTTCCATGACTTTGACATAAGATGCGGAAATTTTGCCGCCTCATAACAGCGAGGGCGCCTTCCGAAATCCAGTGATTTTACTGATCGCTTGGGCGAGCAATACTTTAGAATAATTTGCATTATGATGCCATAAGCAGGCGAATTTTGTTCAAATTATTTTGATCGAAATATCCCCTTTACGAAATTTCTTTTACGGCGTATATAATCGACTTTTTTTCCTCTTTTACAGGATTCTAAAGTCCACAATATACGTCGCAATGTATGTCTTGATCGTGGAGATAGTAATAGTGAGTATGTGAAAGCTGTCGCATGCAGTGGACAAGAATCCCAGGTGTGGATGTTTGGAAAATCAAAGTGAATGATGATGTATCCGTCTATATATAATTCGTTACTGTTGGCTAATGTTTCCTGGTTACTATTAGCTTTCACTATATCGTAAGAATAATTTCTATAAAAGGTTAAATGTAAATGGTCATGGTTAACTGCTTGCCACCTTGACATGTTCACAGTGAAATTGAAACTAGGCTTGACCGAGAATACGATCTCTGATGCGACCTCATGCAGTTTTATAGTAGCCCAACAGCCAGGCGCTTTAATTTCTATTATTTTACTTTTTATTACTTATTATTTTTTATTACAATAATTGATATTTGCATGTATTTTGTTGAAGAGATGTTTATATTTTGGTCATATTTAAACTATGAATGTTTAAAATATAGGCTTTTCTTGCCAACCTTACATAATTATATACTATATGATGACATCATACCACAGTAGAGCGCCTATCTATTGGGCTACCTATGATATGGCGCGAAATGACTCTGAACGTTGGCTAGCGAATTTTAAATTAATATCGATTAATACCCATTGAATGAACTGAAATAGGAGGATAAATTGATAAACAGGATTTAAACTTGAGACTGTTGTTGTGATGATCTCAATCGCGCATTGATTATGTATATATATATATATATATATATATATATATATATATATATATATATATATATATATATATATATATATATATATATATACACCCATTTGCAAAAACGTTGGCCGCAGATAGATAGATAGATAGATACTCGAAGTCTAATTAGAATTGCATATGAATACATTTGCATGGGATTTCAATCATATTACACAACATATGCAATTCTAATTAGATTTCGGGTATCTATCTATATATCTATCTGCGGCCAACGTTTTTGCAAACGGGTGTATATATATATATATATATATATATATATATATATATATATATATATATATATATATATATATATATATATATATATATATATACAACAAAGAGTAGGAATCGAGACCATTAAGAAAATTAGCATGTTTTCATTTTTGGTTACCCAATCAGAATACCGCGGTCACACTACCATTTTACAAGAGGCATAAAAAATTTAGGCATTCTGAATTGGCTTTGCCTGTAAAATTTTAACAAATTTGCGGATTAGTTTAAAACGAAATTCCTCCTTGTTATTTGTTAAAAACCACCGTAATCATGCATCGCCTGAAAGATAGTCTTCTGTTAACCCGCTTTTACAAGAGTTTACTGCTCGAAACAACATCTCGTCTTGTTAACGCGTAATTTGCAAATGTTGTACCTTTTCTCGGTCGAAGTGAAATTCTTGCCGACGCCAGGACCATTTCGCGCCTTTTTTCATTCCGCTGAGAACATGCATGGAGGCTGTATTCAGCTCGACAGAATACATCGTGCAAAAGAAATCCGGAATTTTTTACGGATTCTCGGTCGACGGTAGAATATCTGGTTTCGACATGGGGGCTGCTGTGTAACATACAGTCTGTATATTAGCGAGCTTAAGATTTAAGACGGTGACGTGACAACGACGGCTAAAAAATTCTTATATAATACAATAATAGATGCGCGAAAATAAAAATTTAAGACATTGCTTAGGAAGTTGGAAGACGTTCACCTTCCAAGGCTTAAAATGCTGGTTTCTACATAAGACGCGGGAATCTGTGATTTGCGCCTCGTAAACAGCAAGGGCGCCTTCTAAAATTCCCAAGAGACTTTAATATTCGATTTGGTCATTAGCCGGCGGCGTTACGTCGTGGCTCTTAAACTCGCTAGGAACCCCGAAACATTCGTATGATATTTCTTTGAAAGTGGTTGGTATCGTCAGTGTATCGTGATAAAGGAGCATCCAGGTTCCGCAGATGAATTCTGCATATCGGCGTGGTACTGATCCTTAACATACAAGTTCCTGCTAACCTTCTCAATCTTCTATTCTTGTAAATATATACATTGAATCTTTTTTGCTCGTTTTTGACCTGGACACTTTTTGTAGCCAATTATTTCTGGGGAGAAACTCTCCAATTCAAAACAATAAAAAGTAGTTAACATCATTTTTGAACAGACAAAGGAACCAACATCAACAAGAAATCTTTTATTTTTTATACTGTTATACTTCATTTACTACTATGTATTCTTGGAATCTCATTTTCTGGGTCATGTTAACTCAGAATTAATTCAAGATTCCTTTTAGTTTCCAAATCTGTGGTGTGAAAACTGGAAATGGAAATGTGAAGCGCCATCTCGATTCCTTGCGAACTGCTAAGAAATTAATGTTTTCCTTTATGGAAACACCAATTTCCTTTGTGTTGTTTCCATGTTGACTGTAAAAATGTACGTTTATTGAGTTCGTTTGTGATTTTGAACTGTTTTCAAGGCAATTTTATGTTTTGTCATATATTATGGCCGTCATATAATGTAAGAATGTGTTAAGCAATTTAGATTGTTTGAAATATGGGCGATACTTTGTGGGAAGACCGCGATGTACGCTTTGACATCACTTTGCAGTAAGTCTTGTTGTGTTGTGTTGTGTACCGTAATTTTGTGTAGGATTTTTAACTCACTTTCAACGATGCAACTCACTTTCAACGATGCAAGTGTGTAAATTCGATAGTTATTAGCCTGAATTTATTTTCTTTACACTCATCAAATCATTCAAATGGGGCGCCGGGGGGGTGGGGGCATGCAAATGTAGGTAACAATCCCAACTCCCAAGGCATTCCTGGCTGACCTGGCAGCATATTTTCCCGAGCAATTTGGAAAAACAAGTGTTGGGAATGTAATGCAAATGCTGGGAATTGATAAGTATAACACATATATTATATTGCACATAATGGCCCTCCCTCTACTGCTGTGGTTTTGATTATAAATAGTTATATAAACAACAAATGTTAATCATGCAAGCTAGGGGTGTGAGGTTAAATCATATTTCATATGTATTTGTCAAATGCATTTAATTGTCAATATCAATTTGTCAAATGCATCAATTGTTTTTACTAATCTAATTTTTCCCCTTAATAGTAAACATTTTCTGTGTTTCTGTATAGTTATGGAAACATTAGGGGAGTTTGGGCGAATTATCATTTCCAGTTCTCCAAAACTCCCACAAGTGCTTCTATTTAACAATTAAACAATGAGTCTGAGTTGTCTATGAGTGAATAGTCATGCAGCGAAGGCGAAGCCTGAGTTGACAATTCTCTCATAGACAACGAAGGCGAGTACACCCTGTACCTAGATATATTAATTTCGAGAAAATAATCGATACACCGCAATTACACCGAAAAATAATTTAATTAATTCAATCTTATACGGTCGCGCAAGAGAATTTTCCCCAAATGTTCACCATCACGAATAGACAATGGTTGAGTAGCCAATCAGAATGTATGATTTGTGATAGATAGTAGTCGGATGTATACTAAAACTGTATAGAAACACAGGAAAAAACATGTTTTATTTTTTTTTATAACTCAGTAAAGAGATTTTGTACAAATATTTAATTCAATTCAATTACAAATTCTCATTACATTACTTCGCTTGTCAGTTTCGGCGACAATATCCCTGTGTTTCTATACAGTTATAGAAATACACTTCTCGACCAATCAACATGTGCATAGTATGCATAAATTTTATATTATAATATGTAATGTAATAAGGGTGATTCTCTGGTTACCAATGTGACATGTTTGGTACTCCATTTTCTTACACCATAGACAATTGTGAAAACATGTCTTCTGGATTGTCTATGGTTACATACAATATATGAATCCAGAAGAAACGCTCAGTGTAATGTGTGCGACCATAGGTAGCCCAGAAATGTTTTCGTTCTTGTGGCGCTCACATGTGTACGCTAGTCTACTTTGTCTATTAATTATCATAACATATGATTATCATAATAATAGATCAGACTGTGACCCGAGTAGACTTGCATACATGCGCGAGCGCCACAAGAACGAAAACATTTCTGGTCTGTTTTTGGTGCAACTGGGAAGCGCCTATAAAACTGCTTTTTTTTTTTCAGACAAATGAAAATGAGAAATGGAGAGGTATGGTTTTGAAATTTTGGACATAATTTCAGCTCTGTTTGGTGACTCGAGTGTTTACCTATTGCCTATTGCCTATAACTATGTTATTTCATTTTTCATTTGCTCATACATTTTTGTAGCTAAAATTTTTAGACAGTTTTATTGGGAGCCCCCTTTACTTGAAACCTGGAATCATGATGCCCACCAGGTGTCTCATTGACTATGTACTTTGCTACTGTGGAGTAATTTGCCTTACCTTTTAAAGGGAAGAACAAGCATAAAATAAAGATCACGGAAAGGCATGCATCTGCACTGAGAAAAAGTTAAATATTTTATAATTGTAACAATAAATACACATATTTTCACTGTTATTTAATTGCTTTTCATATTGTATTGATATGGGGACACAGCCTATTGGAAGATTTCAATGAACTCTCATGTATACATACCTTAGACAATGCACCACTAATATAGGTTTGAACAGCTAGAAGGATGCAACAAGGGCATATTTAGATTTTTAGAAAGTGTCCCAGAAAACATCTTCAAATTTTTCATTATAATGTAGAATGTTTAATTCCAGGTGCAAATTGACAAGCTAGATTCAGTAGAGGACACAAAGGGAAATAATGGTGACAGAGGTATTGTCTATACTATATATGATCATTCCAGAATAAACACTTCACATCATATTTCAAATAGTATTTGCAAATTGGAATTGCGACAAGTAAATATGGCAAATTGTAACCAAAATTTTAGACTAATTTTAGACTAACGGAAAACGTTTTATAAATCCATGTCTTGGCTTAATACCGTTTAATAACATTCTATTTATTACATGGACTTGCTTTTAGCGACAAAAATACAATATTTTAATAAAATATTTTAATAAAAGAAAAGAGTACAGCGTCTGACACTCAGACTAAATCCTTACCGTTGTTTGTTGGAGAAATATCCTTTAGTTTATAAATCGGCATTTTGTTAGGTTTTCGCATTCGGTTTCCCGCGACAGAGTTATCTGATATTTGTTGAAGAAATATCCCTTATAAATCGACATTTAGTTGTGTTTTCGCCTTGTTTTCCGCGACAGAGTTATTAACATCGTGCAAATCTTATTTCGAAAATAATATCAACTCATTTAAGTTAGTTTCCCGCCATTTTTCGTTATGTCACTCTACGCGTGGCATGGCATAGGTAGCCCAATGGCGAATGGTTTATTAGAAATAAAAATGCACTAAAGCCACTGTGACTAAAACATTAAAAATTTGAATAAAGCCATCGTAACTTTCATGAAAATTGTGAAATTGACAGATGTCTTTATTAACTTGGCAATGATAGTTGTTGCCTACAACGAGCGACGTGTGTTTCCGACAACTACAAACAATTAACAATGTAGTTAATAATACTTGCAAAAGCCGACTCCAATAATTCTTTTATTGTACATTTAAAAACATTAAAAAATAAACATGTCCAGGCACTCATTAGTCATTAGTCCTGCATATGGTTACAGTAACTGGAAATAGCTTCGTAATTTTTGACCTAGACATGCATCAAGCAAGCACTGTAGTAAACTACTTGCAATTTGCAAATCGTTTCTGTACTTTTTGTATTTTAATGTGTTTAGGACGGTTGATTGTTACAAACCTACGAATTATATGGCACTCTCAAACAATGCAACGTGTCAATCTTTGTGAGTATAAAGAAGCAGAAGCTACCAACTGCTACCAACTGCTCGTCATTATTCTTCATTGTCTTCAGACTTCACCATCATGTATCCGTGTTTTTCTTGATATGCTATCTTGTATCCGTGTTTTTCTGAATATGCTATATACATTGATTATATTTTACCTGTGATGAATATAATACCTGTGATGTATGTTTTACCATTTCTGTTGATATGAGAATTAACCCAGAGACACTGCAAAAAAATACGTCTGATAATTCCGTACAGTTATCAGATGTTTAAAAGAGAGCACTTTTTCAGTTGTATTATACAGTAAACCCGTTCCAATTTCCCATGTACGGTAACAAAACTCATTTGAATTTATAATCTAATATGCTGAAGGAAAATGTCGTTTATATATTTGAAATATGCTGTGCTTTGCACTTTATTTTGTAGCTGTTGGATTTGGATGTATCGTTAATCTCTCAACAAGAGTTGCAACATCAGTAAGTTTATTTGAACTATCAGAAACTAATGATACTATAATGTTTCTTGTATAATTTAAGCTTGGAAATAATGAAACATTTTGTGATTTACTCTATTCAAGTTGTCGCACGGTATGAAAAGCCTTGTTTATCTTTCCCTTCCAATTTTTCTTTTAAATAATGCTCAACCTTATATATATTCCAAAGTTATTTAAGTCCATTTTGGGCGAATGTCATCCACAAGTCGCTCAAATTTCTGCAGATACTGCATGTGGGTAATTTTGAATGGATAATGAAGATACTCAAGTTTATTATATTTGTCCAGAATTGGAGAAGAATGCTCCAGTGGGTCGAAAACGTTTTAAAGTCTGTCTTTAGCAAACGTCAGTTCAAATTATTGTCTAGCCTATATCGTTTATAAACTATGTTGCACATAACCCCGCCTGCCTTTTGGAATATAAAAGCTGTTTCACACGTTTTCGAAGGCTCGTAATGGCAGTGAAATGGAGCGACTTCGTTAATTGTATGTGCGTTCAAACAGGAAGCTCAAGAAGTTACATACTATACAAGAACCTGAGCTATATAAAAATATGTACCAGTTAACAAATGTATCTCAAATCCTGGTTCATCAAGTAGCCAATTCCATATGCTTTAAATACTCAACGATTGTTTTGTCTGCCAACTTTGTATATTTTTGGGTCTGTTTTAATTTATGTATTTACTCAAATAATGTGGTGACAGTACGTTGTTGCATGTAGAGAGCCAATTAAACCGATAGGTATAACATTAAGGGTTTGTATATAAACCTTAAAGGGGTTTTCCACTATGCGAAATTTTTCGATCGAACGAAATTTTTCGCTCGATTTTCTTTTCAATTGTGACCGGTGAAGGGAATCCGCTACGGTCGAATTCTGGGAATTAAAAAGAATATCAGGCGAAAAATTTAGGGATATTCTTAAATTGCTTATACATTTATTTAGAAACTTCGCGGCCAAACGGAATCTCTGTACCTTTTGACGAGGTGTAATCACACAAGATTTGAATTTATTTTTACTAACCTGGTGAGAATTGCTTCTATGTCATGTGTAGACGACTAGACCTATCCAGGCGTGGGTTAGTGCGGAGTTTGCTAAATAGAATTCTGAACTGTAAGATGCATACATGCACAGTATTCTAAAATTGATATGATCCAAACGTCATCCCAACTATAACTGTATTTGTGCATTTATTTCAGTTCAGTTTATAAAACAGTACAATGCAATTAAGCTCTTTGAATTAAAAAAAATTCTAGCCACAGTGAAAGGTCTATTCTCTTTTGATTCTGTTTCCTCTTCCTATTTTTTACGCATAGTAGGATTGCACGCCTTGGATGTTGCAGGAATAATCATTACGAAATGGTTCACAGCTAATTTGAACATGGTTTTCGTAGCGCTTATATAGTTCTCCTATTTATGTATACGTTGGTTACCGAAAACTGTCCAACGAATCGGATTTAGGCGTTTACGAGGAAGTCTATACTGTTCATATAATATAGCTATACTATATTGCTGTAACAGATTGTCTTTTATTAGGTGTCAGGAAGCCCAAGATTATTTTCGACTGTGATGTCAGTTTTTAGGTTAGTATTATATACGTTGTTCCAATAGTTATATTTATCATCACATTTTTATGGACATGCAGCTTTTTAATGGCCCGCAGTTTAGAAATTTTAGAAAATGCAAGTATAAATTAAATCATTTTGTAAACGCATGCACAAAGCGTGTTAGTATAAAATCGCTATATTATTAGCGTACTATATAGCATACTCATTATATACAATGCGTATCCATTTTGATTGGACTACATAGGGACTTCTAAAATATTATTCGGCATTTAGCTCAAGATGATAAGTAATGAAAAATGAAGTTTAAAAAAGAATCTGTATATGCATGGAAATGAAGATTTGCTGTTATATCTATGATAATATTCGATAAATTTAGTAAGAGGATGCATTTTTTCCTACCATTTTTCACAATTATTTTCCAGTGACAACAACGTAAGTAAACATGCATGGAATGCCACTGTTTGATATAATGTGGAATAAAATCGATAAACGAAAAACGAGACACAAATATTAACTTGGAGTCAAACTATTTAAGGAGCGCCGGGCTTTATAAATATTCAATATAGCCTATATTTTCCACTCTTCAGAGCTTATGAATCATCGAAACTATATCGTGACTTAAAGCTGCGGGGTGCTTTGATTGAAAACAAACAACTTCGTATTCTTCCTCTGGAACAAGTCTATGACAAGGTAAACTGAAGAAAAATAGCTCAATATATAGTAACTCGGACGTGCGGGGCTATATCATTGTAAGCAACGTTTATTCGCCATTTTTTACGCCACGTTCATACGCCGTCTCTAGCTGCATGACCTCGTTCTCAAGCTAAATCCGTCTATCATGCATGCGCACCAAAGAGTTGGAAGTAGTTCGAAATAGCTACTAACCACTTACAGAGATAGGCACCACGCATGATAAACAGACTTTTAAATAGACTAGGGGGTTTCAAGGTTGGCAGGATGTGTGTTTGAGCAAATTTTCTCGTCCACATCTCTTTGTTATACGCTTATCTATATATTGATGCATCCGTCTCATGCATGCATATATATATTTCCTGTTCTTTCCTCCGTCGTTTAAATTGAAAACAACAAAGATTGATTTTAATATTTTCTTAGATCAATGGTGTATGGAATTTATCAAGTGACCAGGTTTGTGACATCGCTCGTAATCATGTTCTATAAGCCTGTTGAGAAAGTTTGCACTTCAATTATTTCACTATGTAAAAGTGGAACATTAAGGTGCATGCGACAGTCTTTTCAAAAGAACTATTTGAGTCCGGCAGTTAAGGTTTGCTTTCTAAAAAACACCCTTTTGACTCGTACCAGATGAAACGCATCTAATTAACAGTTATTCTGCGAACTGGAGTCGTATATGAGCTGATAGCCGACGAGAGTGAGCAGAATAACTGTTTTATTATACACACAAACTTTAATTGTCGCCCTTTCGGTGCATTTTGGTGTGCTATTATCAACTAGGCTTGGATTTCTATTTCACTCAACTCCCCAAATCTTTCCGCCATTTTGTTTACTTTCTCTATACTAGACAGATATGAGCTAATATCTGTCTAGTAGCCAACCAATGAAATTGCAGCATACCTCATATCTGGCGCTTGTGTATATAATAATATGTACACTGTTATTTGTACTGGTGCATGTGGTTGTACATTTTGTTATGAATACTATACGGCATGGTTACGCGAATTTTTTTTCAGGGAATCTTGTGTTATTTTTATTTCAGGGTAATCTTGGCACATTTTACATAACTAACGTACGCTTGGTCTGGCATGCAAACATGAATGACAGTTTCAATGTCAGCATTCCTTATTTGCAAATGGTAAGTGCATGATATTTCTATTTACGAACAAAACCTTTCGATGGCGAATTTTCAATAATGTGAGAGTAATTTGAAATCTGAAAGATACACATATTATTATACGCAGTCGTTTAAAGAATATTTCATGTACGCAAAGAGAAACCCCAATCGCGATTTGGATTCTCGTTCCACAAATTATTAACATGCATGTGCCATTATGTTTTAGTGAGCAATAACTTCTGCACCTTTCTTACTTGTTATAATTATACTGTATTTGGAAATCTAACTTTAAGCAAAGGAAACAATTTTATCGCTAGTGATAACTTTTTCTTCCCGTAATAATATCGATATTGGAAGGTATAAATTAGTATATAATTCTTTTAGAAATCTGTTCGTATTCGGGATTCAAAATTTGGGCTGGCGTTGGTCCTGGAGACATCGCAACAGGTATTAAAATGGTTGATAAAGACAATATGCCTTAATTAAGATTTTGCAGTCAAACCTATTGCAATTTTATAGCTACCTGATTTTTCTAGTACTGCAAACACTATTTGTCTATAAATGACGTGAATACTTCATTGTAACTATTCTAAACCTAGGCTATAGTGCATTTGGAATAGATGGAACTCTTTTCGATTCTTATATAATGCATATACCTTGATATTTGCCTCTAACGAGGCGATATTTCCGTAAAAATCCCTTGATTGGAAGAGATATATCTAGGGTAGACAAATTAGGTATTCTTCAAACATTTTCCTGACTTTCTTATGCACATGAGGGCTGAGGCATTCTTATGGATGTAAGGTCCTAAATTTATGATGGAAGAAATAAAAAAGGCAGTTTAAAAGTAAGCACCTGGGTGTGAGGCTGCGTGCATGGCTTTTTGTTCATTATATATTCGATGTACTGTGGCTCCTTTGTTTAAGGATTCGCTTTAGCTTATCCCTAATCCTGCGGTCAACAGATTGACATTAAACTTGAGATTAAGGTTATCCATCTTCAAACCATGCATATCTAGAGCGGCGGGTACGTCCTTGGTTTCCGTATTGATCCTGCAGAAAAGTTACAAGATGCTGTCAAAGAAATTCAGAGTCTTCAACGGGTATGTATGCATGCTATAATAAATAGTATGTATGCAAGATTAATATATTAATCTGATCTGAAATCAATCACCTCGTTTATCTTAAGGTTTATAGCGCTAGTCCTATATTTGGAGTGGAATTCGAGGCAGAAGAGAGGGTAATTATGTCATACGTTTCTTGTCAAATAGTTGGAATTAGATCGCGATTTTACACATGCGTGATAGCCGTAAATAATAAGGCTTTTGTAAGTAATCGCAGTACATGACGGACCTTTCAGAGCGAGAAACAAATTTTGGCAGTTTTTAACTTTAACAGTTTTCAAACTTTAAAGTTTGGCGGTATAACATATTACTAGCGACCTTTTGAAGAGTTCTGCATGCATATGATTCCTGCATGTGATGTGGCTAACTGTAGGATATGACTAAGTAACATTTTTATAATTTAAATTTTTTGCCATATCTCTTGTCTCTCCATATGACCCTGGATTCACAAATAAACATCTGTTTTAACATGTCAAATTACATATTTTCAAGTACTATAAATATTTGATGAATTAGTCATGTTTTATAGCATTTCAAAAATTCTCATTCCTGGTAGAGACACTGTGTGAAAACCCTAAACACGATATTGTAGACTATTTTTTAGAATTTATAAAATTTTGCAGGGTATATAACCAATATTTCTTCTTACACCCATTTGTTTGTAGCCACATACTCTACAAGAAGCAACAGTTGACCCAGTACTCGATGATATTGAGATAACCAGTGAAGGCGAAGGAACTGATGCATTTGCAGTAAGTCTTATATATGAATGAATAATATAACTCTTAAAACTTAACTGAAGTTACTCGCGTTGAAAGGGCATAACCTACTTTTTTATTTTTTTTCCAGGCGTATTTTGCAGACGGAGACAAGGTGAGTTCCATGCATGTTGTGTGGTGATATTTTCTGAATGTACTTGAATTTCGCTACACGTGGATTTGAACAGGGAAGTATGCACAATAATTTGCTAATTGTGATGCCGATTTTCTCCGAACGAAAAGCTCTATAAACATACGATAATTACGATTTTTCATCAATTCCGAGATATCCTTTAACCATAATGTCAATGGTTTTCTAGTCTAAAGACCGCGAGCCTGAATATAATGCCGAACTTGGGTTGGCAATAGAGAAATTGAAAGATGGATTTACATTACAGGGCCTTTGGGAGGTTGTGCCAAGTTGATTTTCATGTTTTTCTGCCAAAAAATGTAAATTGTCCCATGATGTAAATATGGATGTTTTCCTATTAATATATTAAATAATTTAATTATAAGTGCATGGACAGTGCATGTTTACATAAAACAACAAAACATGTAGTAGCATCTTCGCTATAAGTTGGTTTAGCTGCAACTGTGCATCTACAGGGGCGTTCTAAAGATATATAAAAGCACATGCATGTTTTGTATATGCAAGCAAAACATGCGATAAGGAATGGGAAGTAAAACATAATAACAAAACACCTGCTTTCGTTGCCAAAACAATCAAGAGGAACTTAGGCATGGGAATTTCTGAATAAATGAAGATGTTAACATTAAAATAGAAATTTAAATTTCAAATATTAACCAAGTTAACGGATGCATGCATTGGTAACTATATAATAAGGAATTGGGATGTTAAATGTCATTGACATTTAATTATGTCATATATAAGAAGAGGAGAAAACGGCGCGCCTCAGAAAAGAACAGACGGCTCAAATTTCCTGATGAGTACCAAGGGTGAAATATTTCGTAACAGCCTCTGTGTTGTGGTTAACCACTGCCCACAAAGTAAAATTATCTGTTCTTCTTCTTTGGTGAATTTCCGTCTTTTCTATCGTTTTTTTATTGGTATTCGTATACGTAACACACAAAATACAGTACTGTGCATAGGCCCCCAGTCAAATTGTCACTTGTTAGTAAAATTCATTGTATTGCAAGACATGCTAGGTAGAAAGACTTGTAGTGGTCTTGCACTTGGTACAGCCACCATGAGAGCTAGACCATTATTGCGGCACAATGTCCAGTCATTGACCTAACAAGCTTGTTTGTTACATCTGGATCAACAGCCTCCAGAAAATGGGCTCTTTGATTCTTCCACATGTCGAGATGGTCTTCTATCTGACCTCTTGCTCACTTATTCCCAAAAATGTTCAATGAGGTTTACGTCAGCGATATCTTATAGCCCTGGGCTGGTCAAGTTCTTTCAGGCTCTTTTCTGTATGACATGGTGCCCCATCTTACTGGAAGATATAATCTCCACCACAAAGCCATCTCATCTATTAAGAAAGTTCTAGATACAAGCCAAACATGCCATTTTCTGTACCTAGTCGAAAATTTACGATCTTGGGACTTTCTAAAAGGTGGAGAGAGCTTTGCGGTTGAGACTTTATCTTTGAACAAGATAGGGTACCATGTGACAGAGAAAAAAGCCCCAGAGAAAGAAATATCAATCAGTACAGTGCAATGAAAGAATTCTGACCTTAATCTGTTTGAATATCTCTGGGAATAAGTGAGGGAGAGGTTAGATAGAAGACCATCTCGACATCTGGAAGAATCAAAGAGACCATTTTCGCATCACGCGAGTCTGTTGATCCAGATGTACTTATTAAACAAGCTTGTTGGGTCAATGACTGGGCATTTTGCCGCAATAATGGTCTCTCATGGTGGCTGTACCAAGTGCAAGACCACTACAAGTCTTTCTACCTATAGCATGTCTTGCAATACAATGAATTTTACTAACAAGTGACAATTGAACTGGGGGCCTAGAACTTTTGCACAGTACTGTATATAATCAAATTTTCGCACAATACTATATATGTATTTATAGGTGTAAGCTCTAACAGCATAAAAAACAAACAGGGATCCCAATTTTGGTATAAGGCTTGAAGAAAACGGTTAAGCACAATTGAGGCGAAGAAACTCACGAAAACGGGTGAATACACCTTTGCCAATGCAACGAAAGTAGTAGCTCATAAAATCTCATAATCCGTATATATTTAAATCGAATGGAGGACATAAAACGCGAAATGTGAAACATGATTCGAATATAGGTAGAGCAAATACATAAACCTTAATATAGCGTACCAAACCAAACTCTACAATACTAAATACAAGGGGATGACTAGTAGAGATGTCTCCTTAGTATCTCAACGTTACTTTATAAAACACCTTATTCTTCACTCGTACATCTTTTAGCTCTTTACCATGTTGATACCTCTAGAGTGTACCAAACTCTACAATACTAAATACAAGGGGATGACTAGTAGAGATGTCTCCTTAGTATCACAACGTTACTTTATAAAACACCTTATTCTTCACTCGTACATCTTTTAGCTCTTTACCATGTTGATACCTCTAGAGTGTACCAAACTCTACAATAACTAAATACAAGGGGATGACTAGTAGAGATGTCTCCTTAGTATCTCAACGTTACTTTATAAAACACCTTATTCTTCACTCGTAGATCTTTTAGCTCTTTACCATGTTAATACCTCAACCATACTTCCCAGTTCTGGCGGCTACAGCATGCCTTACACATGCATAATCTAATAAACTAAAGTTCCTGTGGTACTTATAAAATAAGGGTTATAAAACGTAAGTTTCCTGTGATAAGCACAGTTATCAATAACATAATAACCAGACTAGCAGTTCCAAACCTTCAAAAGGGCTCCTGCTATATTTCGTAGAGTAATCGTGGACACTACATCACTGTTTCACCATTAGATATGCCTAATTCGTCGTTCTTGTCATTCTGTTCTTCTTTGTCATCGGAGGTTTCTTCAGGATTATATACGTGCCACGAAAGCACGAAAAGCATTGATGACACACCTATACAATGAGTAAAAGAATACAAATTTACATAGATAGAATTTCTGAAAATAATAAGCTCGTTTTCGTATGGTAAAAACGAACAAAGCTAAAGTCTTAGGAAAGGATTAACAAAAAGTTATAATCATGTTAATCTATTAGTTTAAATTCATTCATGCATGACAGCATTTCACTTGAACGACTATCAAAAGCCATGCATTATTGATGATTAGGTTGCGATTGTTGGAGACATAATGAAAGGATGTGAACTTGTCATGTTAGAACAGGCCAACATGGAAGCAAAGGCATCATCGTGTTCCACACTACGATTTCGGGTACTGCCTTTTTGAAACAGTATAACTGTACACACTAAAAAAAGGTGTGTTAAATTTACACACCTTTTTTGTCCAAATTTTAACACACCTAAAGGTGGGTTTTGAAACACACCTAAAGGTGTGTTTAACACACCATAAGGTGTGCAAAAAGCATCTTCAAAGGTGTGTTAACACATAGCAAGGTGTGTTTTTGTGCACACCAAAAGATGTGTAGAACACACTAAAAGGTGTGTCAAAAAACACACCAAAAGATGTGTTTTTGGCTTGTCCAAATTTTAACACGTTCTAAGGTGTGTTTTCAAAGAAGGTGTGTTTTCATACACACCATGGTGTGTTTCATTACACAGCTAAAGCTGTGCTGAAAAACACACAAATTGTTTAAGTAAAAAGTTGCACATCTTTCTTAAAAGTAACATATAAACAGGGCTAGAAAACACACAAACACAATATTAATTTATAAATATATTTTAAGTTCCAATACTATTAAGAATTAACATGAAGTCACAGTAATGAATTATATAAATATCTTGAAGCATGCAGTTTAGTTTAAAATAATGTCTTACTCTATAAACAGTTTATTGACTTGATGTCGTCTCGACTTGACACTTGGTGGTGTTTTCTTGTCTTGTTGGTCACCCTTGTTCTTGTTTGTTGGAGTGTATGGTGCCTGCTCAACTGTTGCAATAACATCATCGCCTTAATTCATGATCTTCATAATCAACAAAGGTCACCTGAAAATATAAAATAAATGCATAAGAGGATCTGGTATTTAGAATTTTCCAATTTAAGATGTGCACAAGCATCTGTTAATTAATAGAACATGCTAAATGATACCCAATTTATGAGTTAAGATTTATTTTTGGTAAAAGAATTTAGGATGTATTGTCAGGTATAGGCAGGTATAATTACATGAATTATAACCTTCTGTTGAAATTTGAAAAATTGGGGTCTGGGCACATTTCCTATAGTTTCTTTAAAATGGGAAAGTTTTATTTTAATATGTATATATAGCTATCTTTCAGGATAAGTAGTCAAGTCTATAGTATTAAAAATCATAAACCATTCTAGAACACTCAAGTCAAATCAACTATCTAATATTTACAACATTTAGAAAGCAAATGCAGTATAGTGAGGACAAAAATTGGTCCTTTGGAATGTTACTAACCCCCAAAAGGAATACAAAATATTAAACATATAAAATTAAGACACAAAACAATTCATCAAGATTACACCTAGCGAATATTATATGCTTTCTTTATACCAAGCATAAACTATGGCATAAACAGCCTTATGTATACACCGATATACGTGTAAATCTCCTTCTAAAAGCACCTAGAACAATTAAATTTTGAAAGATAAAACGTAACACTCACCAAGTCTCTCTTGTGATGTCGAATCTGTTCGCGTCGCCATGCGCTTCGGTGGTCTCTGAATTATTAGGATGAAGCAGACTTTTCACTTTCAAGCTATTCGGGACCCTTGAAGTCTTGAATTTCTTTGCATCGTTTGTAACGGAACCATCAATTTATTCGCTACAAATAGATAGAGACAAACATATTGATTACACTCGTTGGCCATATTGAAATTGATACAAATGTTTGACACAAACGATTCGAAAAGCACTGCAATACAACTTACCCTCTTATAATTTCTTCTTTATACAACATCATAAGCTCTCGTGTGTTCATCTCCAAAAAAATCTTAAAATCGCCTTCACAATAAACATAATTTAAACTTGTAACAGACTCGAAGCACAGTTGTCACAGTAGAGAAGGAAATGTAAACACTAAACAGTGGTTTGTATTTCGTGCGCGTGGGTTTCACACCTCGCGACATTCTTATTGGTTAAAAGCGTATGACGTATCAGATCACTGACCTGTATGGCAGATATTCAAGTCTGTATGGCAGATATTCAAGTCTGTATGGCAGATATTCAAAAACAACCCACGTTAATCATTCTTATTACAAAAGTAAACCACAACGATCTGTAAATTCCCTTAAATCTATGTCTTATATAATGTTTAGAGTTTTTAATACTGATCAAAGCTGAAACGCAGGCCAAAGATAACAGGAATTTAAAGCAAAAAGTTAAATTTAAATGCAATGGAACAGCGTGAAATTTCCTGTGACTTGTGTAATTCCTCGTAAGGCTGACGCTTTTATCGACGCACTAAAATACTATAGGTAATAAATAAGGCCAATCAAGCATATTGTTAATAATTTAAAGGTGTGTTTTATAACACATCAAAAGATGTGTTTCTTGGATGGGTCAAGGTGTGCTGTCAAACACACAGGTGTGTTTTCAGTGAAAAGGTGTGTTACTTTACACACCTTAATGAGTAAAAGAAAAGGTGTGCAAAAGGAGGTGTTTTCGCTAACACACAAAGGTGTGTTTTCGAACACACGAAGATTTGTTTGCGTACACACAAAGGTGTGTTTCCTTACACACCAAGGTGTGCTTTCTAAAAGCGCGTAGAAAGGTGTGCAGAAATTACACACCATGGCGTGCAATTGAGCACACCTTGGTATGTAGTCAAACACACCTTGGTGTGTAATTCTACACGCCTGTTTTTTGTGTGTACTACTTCTTTTTAATTTACATCGGGTTTTTGCCCAAACGTGCCCCAGAAGGGCGAAACTGTCATGTGCCTCACCGATTATTACTGCTCCAAAGATACAGATATTCCTTTCAAGAAGATGAATATTGTAGTCGAAACACCTTCCTCTCTTACCACAGAGATCTTGCCACAATCGGCAACAAA